ACATAGCTGCATCCAACTTCAACCTGAGTGGAAGTCTAATCAGCCAGAGTAAAAATGATAACACCCGCCTGGGTTTGCAGGGGCTTTTGAGTTCCCAGCGTCTAAACCTATAAAAAACCAAAGTGAAAGAGACAGAGAAATGTTCAACCCTTTTATCCTGCCGGGCTCGGACACCATTCTGTGCCGCTCTTGACAATACCTCACAGAACCCCTAGCTACAGCAGGGTAAATGTGTGCTGGCGTTCGTTCTTCCACATTGCCGTCCACAGGGACCGGTGGCTCCGCGCGGAGACATAATGAAAGGCATGGCCAGCTGTGCCGACCAGCAAGATGGCACTTTCATCAAAGTAAGCCAGTCTGATGCCAGATTTTCAATTATTAAACACCTGAAATAAGCAACAGTGTAGAGCCCCTCCCCCCGAAACAAAAAAAAACTGTAGACACCCATCAGTGATGCTGAAAAGGAAAGATTGTTTTTGGCATAATGAGATTTGGATTATAGTTATGTAGCAAGAGACAATACTTGCTGACGCTGATTGCTACAGAAATATTTGCAGTGCCGTGAGAAAACCACAACAGCGCGTTCGTTGTGTAGCAAACTGCAGTTAATCTGTGTGTTGGTGCCAGATGTTTGACTAACACAGCAGACACAGGATACAGCATAAACCTGAGTCTCACAGCCTTTTCTCAGCCTGTCTTCAGGTTCAAAAATAAATTGGCGTGCCATCATGTGAATTTGTTGATGACATATTATATTTAGCACAGAGCATGGCAGCAGCTTCAAGTTGATTATACATTAATGACAGGTTTGGAACATATCTTATTTATTTATGTTTCTTTTTTTTTTTTTTTTAAAGACATCAATCACATCATTCTTATGTTTTGGAATTCTAGAAAGCAGCTAGTTTGGATGCCACAGATGACTTTGAAATGTAGATAATCACAATATCAATTTTCTGCCATGGTTTTGTTTTTTACCCACGTCCCAGAGGGATTGCAGAGAAGAAGGCAGATAAGTCTTTGAATTCAGAGACGCACTAAATTAACCTCCTACGTTCTTTTCTACAGTGACAGTGACACTGCCATAACCTCTGCCTCCTGTCAATGCCGCGCGGATGCCATGACAGTCCCCATATTAGGGGTCAAAGTTAAATTGAGCTGAACTTTCGCTGCAAAACTGCAAAAATCAAGACGATGAAAATAATGGCCTTGCTCAACTTGCAGTTTAAGGGTCTCTGATGAGCCCCACATATCAAGCAAGCAAACAATAACAGTGATTTTTGCTCTCTGTTTTCATGCACAATGCACAAGCCCCAGCTTTGTTTATTCTGAGGAGGCTGCAGCTCTCTGGCGAGTGGCTCAGAACAGGGCAGATGTCAGTGAACATGCTCATGAACCTGGTTCTGTGATTTAAAAAAAAAAAAAAGCAAAGACGATCATTCTTTTGTGAGTTTTTGGATGACGATGGAGTTCCACAGCATAGGCGTTTAGATCAAGCTGCACCTCATCTCGAAGCATAAAGTTTTCCTCTGCAAACTTTTCATTTAAAAAGAAAAAAAAAATCTAAACTTCTTCGCCTTGTCATGAGTTGAAATTGAAACAAGAAATAAGTTAAGTGGAACTGCTGAATTGCTGAGAGGAGGCAAAACTTTCTGCATGAAGAGCAGCCTAATTGGCTTTAGATTTAACACTGGTTTTGCCCCTTAACCACTGCTGGACTGTACCTTTTGAAGTGCTCATTCACTTGAAGAGAGCACCTAGAAAACAGTGACTGATTGCTTAATTAGCTGCTACCTTACTAAATCATATGCATACAAATTGTGAGCACAAATTGCAGTTTCGTGAATGGGAATGCGTCACTGAGGCACTTTCTACAGGCAATTTCTTTCAGTTGTGCATCGTGAAACCTCAGAATACTGCTCTTTGCCACTACCTTTTCAGATTGCTTATACATTACCCTTATAATCACAATCTCCACAAACCGTACAGTCCCATTACAGAGGTAAATGGTAGGGCTTATCATTTAAGTAGACTAGGTGTCAAGCTTTCTGTCTGATAACAGAACATGAAGAAGGATGTAACAAAATATTGCAGTTACTGCATGTTAGAATCTTGAGAACATGTTTTACCATTAGATGTAAAAAGGTAAAAGCTGGAAGTGCTCCTTTGTCAATATCAGAGACTTCTGACTCAGAGAACAGACTTGACTTGGTTGACTTGCTTTAAATTTATCTGACCTTCACTTAATGCTGCAATACTGACAGGACCCATCAAATAAAATATCTGCTGCGCTGCACATAATCAGTTATCCCTGCTGAATACTTTTATCTTTAACGCCTTTTTTGGTGAAGTAAAAACTTCAGTGAGGTACAGTAGGACTGGGTGATATGACTTCAAATAATTATCAGGATTATTTCAAACTTTTACCTTGATTGCGATTAATGAACGATTACTTTGGCACTTATAGTTGTCTCACTCCTCATGGCTGCGTTAGGTGATCTAGATATTCGGCGTCTCACCTGTTTTTCACACGTAGCAGCGCGTGGTTCAAAGCAAAAATAGACAGGGAAAAGTCCTGCTGATAGTGATATTGAAAACACACCAGTAACATTACGTAAAACTGACACCTTTCACTATGGTTTCAATGTCTAGGCCAGTGGTTCTCAACCTTTTCCAACTAATGGCCCACTCAAAAGATCTCAAACGCGTTGGCGGCACCACATCCGACCCCATAACAATACAGAGGCTTAATAATATGTTTTCAGAGCACTTTTTATTCTAATGATAACAACCGAACATTCAGGACTGAACTGAAAGATCATTTAGTTTTAAAACATTTAGAAACATTATTTTGTGGCAGCCCCACAGAATTGGGAGCACTGGTCTTGGCTGTATCTGAATATGTCCTAGACATGAAAAAATATAAATATTTTTTAAATCATTGTTTTACCATTTTAGCAACTGCTTGTGGAGACAGTGGATGCCACATGAACTACATGGTCATAACAGAAACCCTATGCAGACTATAATTATATTATGTCAATAACAAGTGAAGGGCAGTATTTTATCGTTGCGTGCTCTCTCTCTCTCTCTCGCGCCCTCTCTGTGTGTGTGTGTGTGTGTGTTTGTGTCTTGCTCTGAACAAGGGTAAAAAAGGTTAATCAGGTTTATAATGAAAAGAAATCCAACATTTGAGTATGGACGGCCTTATCCAATGTACAGAGATAGAGCTGCCTCTCTGAACGCAGCCTGTCTGAACACACACACACACACACACACACACACACACACGTGCAAGCTGCAGCATGTTAGCGATGCAGCCGCCGCGCACGCACAAAACAGCAGCGTGTTCAGAGCGCCAGAGGATCGGTGTCATCCATATCGCCAGCTTCGCTTTGAGTGAACACAGACTAATGTTAGTTGGATGGGGCGGCGGCACGTGACTGAACACGAGGTAGTATTTTTTTAAGGGGACAGTTCATGAATGTACGCACTGTGGAAAGTATTGACCAAATGAACCAACATGAGAGTGAGAGCTTCTAATTGTCCGTTTTGATACTTGCGTTAATTGCCCAGCCCTAAGGTGTAGTAACAATAATAATTTGTGTTCATGTAAGTAGTAAATCTTTTTCTAATTGCCATTTGTATAATATACTGTAACTTCACAATAATGAGATCATGAAGGATTTGAACGCTATGTTCAGAACATACATTTTGAGTCTCTATGAAAAGGAGTCAAAGCAACTGTTATTTCATGCAATAAGAAGATAAATTGCTATTTTAGGTGGTATAAAATTCTTTGGTGTCAGATATTTTGCTGTCTTTTTATTTGACATCTTTTTAAACAACGTATTTAGCAAGCAGTGTTTTAATTACCTTTCTAGACCCATTGCTGAAGCTGTCATAGTTATGCATTATTTATACAACTATGACCCATGATTCTGAGTTTTCGTGCTGGTTGATTGGAATTACCCGGGTTTATAAATATACTCATCACAGCAGAGAGATCCACATTTAAGCCATATCATAAGATTTTTGGTCTGTATTTTCTCGCCTTTTTGCAGATTAACATTAAATCTCCCCACACAGCTGAGGAGGTGCGCACTGTTCCAGACAAAACTCAGTTTAACACCGAAGAGCGGTTACGGTCTACATCACAAACCTTAGTGTCCTATAATTGATGTTCAGCCTTGTAATGAACAAGTTCTTTGTTTAATTAGACATTTTAAACACTGCAATTCAAGCAAAGCTTCTGATCCATACCAGTGCACCTCATCAACACTTGCTGTGGATGTTGCACAAACTGATAATGTTGTGTCTTACAACAAGCGTAATAGAGTTATGGCAGTCTGAAAGTTAACACTGATAAAATAAAATGAACATTCCCAGCAAAATAAATTCTGAGTATAATGTAGCAGTGCACACATCCCTCCTCCACTCCCCCAAAACACACATACAAACACAAACGCCACACATATTCCTTCAACATGTGTGAGCCATGCCATGCTGCTGTGGAGTGGTGTCTGTGAAATAGTTAGACGGTGTCCAATTAGTCACGGTCCCCCTTAGTGGATTCACCATGAGCAACGTTTTTGAAAAGGTGTAAGAATTTAGATAATAAATAATACCGAGATGAATAGTGTGTTGCAGAGCAGCAATTAAAGCCACACTCTATTAATCTCAGAGAACACAAAAGTCAGTATTGCATTATAGTCATATTGCGATCCTCTGAACCCCGAGGTGTAGATTGCTTCCACTGGATCAGATTAGCTGTCTTCGAGTTTCCACTTTTAGGTTCAATTTAAGAATAAAAACCTGAATAATTGGAGACATCTAACATTTGAAGTCAAGCGTGTTATGAACAAAAAATCAAGGGGTGCTTAGCTTGGATTCAACAGTGTCTTTTTAGAGGGAATACTTGATAAAGGATTTACCTCTGTGTTGAGCCTTTGTATTTTGATTTTGAGTTTTTATTTTTAGGCTGATGCGATGGATCATACCTCACACTCCCTGGAGCCAGAAATTGTGCAAGTGCAGGAACCAGTGCCATTGCCTAGAACCTCCAATGCTTCCGGTGTGGCAGCAGGGTTGTAGCTCATGTAATACTCTTGGAGCTGGGAGCTCAGGTTCTGCTCTGGCTCTGGACTCTTTTTGCGACGCTTCCGCCCCACCATGGATCGCTGCTGCAGCAACCTGGTTGCACCCGGGTAGCGCCGCCACAACACATAGATAATTGTCAAGATTAGGGACATGGTGAAGAAGAGTGCCACACTACCCACCACCACCTTGTGCAGAGTCATGTGCTCCACCTCTGGGGGTGGTGTGTGAGTGGGTCGAGTGCGAGCGACTGAGTCTCTAGGGTTTTTGCTCATATGCCCCGGAAAGGTAGGATGAGGGATAGGTCGAGGTCTGAACGGTGGGGGGGGGCCAAAGGTGCTGCTTGGTGGCATGGGTGGAGAGCTGCTAGTCGGGGCAAAGGTTGGTTCAGCAGTGGCTTCAGAAATGAGCTCTGACGTTGGTGAGGGTGTTTCAGTCAGAACGTAATCAGTCTCCTCACAAATACCGTGGTTCCTCGTGGCCTCCATGATTTTTTCTCCCTGGAGATACTTTGGGCTGCTGCATATCATAGTGGTGTCTTTACTTCCCCGAAAATTTCTCAACCAAGCCACAAGGGGGCATATGCCAGTCCCACAATCCCACATGTTCCCAGCAAGGCTGATGGAGGTCAGCGAGATCCATGCCGACACCGCCTCCTGAGACACGTTAGACAGTTTGTTGGATTCCAGGTTGAGGACTTGAAGGTTGGGCAAGCAGTGAAACACAGCTGGGTCCAGGGTCTGGATTTCATTTCCCGAAAGATCAAGTTTCTGCAGCGTATACCAAGTCCACGGAAGGCCCTGGTTTACCACCCGAATGCGGTTCCACTGCAGATACAGTGATCTCAGGTTGGCCAAGCGCGGAAACAGAAAAAAGTTGATCCGTGAGAACTGGTTGTGCTCCAGGTGCAACTCCATCAGCTTCTGTAGGCCCAAAAAGGTGGTGCGGGTGAGAGCCTTGATTCGATTGTAGCCCAAATCAAGAAACTCCAAACTTCGGCACTCGAGGAACGCTCGAATCGGGATGTTGGAGAGACCGTTTGAACGTAGGTGTAGGTTTTGCAGCTTGCGTAAGCCATGGAATTGACCTGGCTGCAGGATTTCCAGTTTGTTGTAGGACAAGTCCAGACTGCGAAGATTAGGAATCCCATGGAATGTAGAATTGTGCAGGGATTTGATCCTGTTGGAGCTCAGTATCAGCTCTTTAAGCCTGCGGACCCCCTGGAATGCTCGACTGTCAACAGCTGAAATCTGATTGTGGTCCAAGTATATCCAGAGAAGCTGGCTGAGGTGGGCGAATTGATATGGTAGCAGAGTGTGCAGTTCATTGTAGCGCAGGGAGAGGCCCTGGCAGCCAATTGAGATGTTTTCTGGTACATCTATGAAGCCAGATGAATCACAATGGACAGTTTTCCCCTCACATCTGCAGCTATTGGGGCAGGTGCGCTCACCAAAGCTGAACAGCAGGGGAGCCCGCAAGAGGAGGAGGAGAGGAAAGAGGAGGTGTGTCAGTCGTCCATCACACAGCAGTGGACCTGTAAGAGAATATGAGACAGAAATTTACTAAAGATTAAATCACATTTTGAGGAAGTATTTGCAAAAAAGCCATGGACAAAACAAAAATTCAGCATCGCAAAACTGATTCACAACTTGTGAGAAATCATTTAAAGTCTTGCCAGAAGAGCTGAATCAATTGAATAAAAAAATAAATAAAAAAATAGATGAAGGTTATGTAAAAGAGAACAATCTTCTGGAAAACATCATGAATGCAGTTGCAGTTGAAAAAGGCCTAAATATGAAATCTGCTACATTAAAAGATACAGATCTCATAGATAAAGTTCTTTCTTCCTCCTGTACTCGGGTGAAGAATTACATGTCAGCATCCTCCCACCAGTGATAATGTGAGTCCCTCTCCTCTTATCATCAGTAATAACACAGTAGGGACATATGTTCACAGTCCAAGTTAGGGTAACATCATGTTTGGCTTTTTTGGAAAATTACTAATGCTGGTAATGGTACTGACTCTTAAATTAGCTATAGCAAGAATCACAATCTATGCTTCCCATGTTATCTTTTCATTTGTCTGTATATAATCACAGGTCACAACACTGGGTTCTGCAAAAGCACATAAGTTCACTATACACTGTTGCTGTCCTCAAACATATTAATATTCTGAACACAGACTTCTCAAAGATAACGAACATCTGGACAAATATTCCACACATCTGTTCTGGGTGAAGATTTCAATAGATTCACTGCTTAATTGTGAAACAACTAAGAACTCAGAGGAATTGAGAAGGTTCAGGGGATCATGTGAAAGTACTGTTTTCTCAGGTGAAGCTCAAGCCCCCCACATTCAGTTTTGAAGTTTTGACACTATGTGCAAGATCCCTTTCACCGCTATTGTTGATTTGAAAAGGGAAATCAGATGCATTTTGTTCCTCAAAGCGAGACAAGGCCTGATATTTCTTACTCTCCTCACAGTCTACCAGATAAATCTGCATAAACATATACTGTACAGTTCCACCCTCACAAAATACTTGAAGGCTTTTATACTGTAATAATTAGCCTATTAACCTGACTACTGAACAACTACAGCTTGCCTCTAACAAATCCACATAGAGTAATTTAGAACTAAAACTTCAATGTCTATGAATATAAATATCATGTTATCTCAATCAGTGACAACCTTAACCTTTACAATCCCTGTAAATGCAACGACTGACAAGTTTAAGGTTCTGCCTTAAGGGTGTTTCAGGGACTCACGGCCCCTCTTCACATACATAGCCCTTAAATTTATGGGCAAAGCAGCAGGACCAGGATTCTAGCCATTCAGGCAAGGCACTCATGTTTTTTGGGTTTTTTTTTTTTTTTTTTTTAAGGCAGAGTGAGTCACCTAATGTAAAAACACCCTTAAATTAAAGCTGACAGTCAGCCTTATAACCTTACAATCTAGTTTGATTTCAAATTTTACACCATGCAGTACAGATCTAACACTTTGAAAGATGTGTCGGTGACCTAATGGATTTTGACTGCACAATATGTCAAGGGACACACCCTTGACCCAGGGCTCTCTACCAGTCTCACTCTGAGCAACGCTCAGACTACCGATATTCATTTCTCACCAATATGCTGCTCTCGAATGTACTTTAGCCGCCCCTCGGGCATCTGTCTGCTCTTGTGCAGCTGCTTTGCTGCTAACAGCCACAGATTTGACAATTAACAATGAAGTGCTAGCCTACAATGGCACAGAGGGAGGGGGAGGGTGTTAATTTTGTTCGGACCGGCTGAAATAGCAGTGCTTGTGAGTGGGAAGTGAGTAGAGGCAGGGACGACAGGCAGCATTGTGGAGAAGTGAAGAGCAGTATTTGCAACAGAAATCTAATTAGGATTTTTATATTACAGGGAAATATAAGGTCGAGTCTTTTCTAATAATAAATGCTGCAACATGCATGGAGTTTTTTTTAATTGTGGGGTGGGACAACGTCTTTTGTTTAATTGCGGAGATTATAATTGTGTGGTTGTGTGTCTGTGTGTGTGCGTGGGTGTGTGAAAGAGAGATTTATTACATTGTAAGATGTTTTCTGTATATTTATGTAATCATTAGATGGTGGTTGAATTATCTGTGTCCTCTTAGTTAATAAGTCAATGTTTTGTATTTTAATTCTATAGCACATTTAATGTTTTTAAAGTGCTGTTATTGCACAAGCTTCAGGCTGCAAGTGTATATGAACAAAGCACCTTCACCTATCTCTCCTCTCACACATAGGCTGTCAATACCACACACTGACAGAACAAAGAAATCAGATACAGAAATGGATAATTAAATATAAGATATGAAAAACTGACCTGATGTTAGCTGCCCAGAGGGAGCTGACTATGACACACACATTTGTATTGCTGCACTTGTGAGCAGGTTCACTGACACAGTGCATCCCCAACCTCTACTGCATACATATCCCCAAAACCCTTATCTTAACCTACAGTAAAAATAATTCTAGCCTCAGCCATTAAAACAACTCCAAACCCCCAAACAGCCCCTCTGAAGAGGTCAGTTGTGGACAAAATGTCCCCGCTTCCCATAAATGTCCTCACTCTCGATGTCTAAAATTGAAATTAGCCCTCACAAGACCAGTACAAGGGAACACAAACGCACACACACACACACACACACACACACACACACACACTCCAAATGTTCTGATTTGGTTTGACTTTGGACAAGGTTTATAAAATGACAGCAAGTGAATGACATGAATACAAACTGAAATGCATCATATTACTGGTGAGATGTGTTACATGATACATGAATTTTGGAGACGTCTATATTTATAGAACAGTGTGGAAACACAGACGTTATTCAAGATATATAGACAGAGAGAGACTATAATTATGATGGATGTGTAAATTTGAAAATCAAATGCATCATAATCTTCATATACAGTATGCATTCTCATTGACTGGTCCTCAGACAGCTGAAAGTAAACAGTATGTTAAGTGCTCTTTGATGACTCCTGTAAAGATTCATATATAGCTTTAATATATGGCGTCATTTCTTTGTGCTCACCTGCTGTGGCATATAGTATGCAGAGCACATTAGTATGCACCATTATTCCACAACTCGGAGGGTGCCACACAACACTGTGACAATTTCATGCTAAAATGGGTAGCAACCATGCAGCGTCGCACATGATCTGCATTAATCACAAGCTATATTCATTATTAATTACTCCATTCCGCCGTACAGGCAGGTTTGTATTAAGTCTTGAAACAGCCAAACAAGCACAAAAAATACACTTTGACCTGTCGCAATTGACATTTTACAGTTGATGAAGAACAAAAGAAAAGAACAATAAGGAACAGTTCCTGGCTCCTGTGTAACATTAGAGGTTCTGTAAACGATATTTTAAACAATACTATAACAGCAAAAAACTATTTTCTATGTTAAGATAGTGTAGTCATGGCATCCTGAACAGAGAATGAAGTCACACCCCCTCTGTGCGTGTTGTAATCTGGGTTTCTCTGTTTTTTGTTTTGGTATCCGTGCCTGCAGCATGTGCATGTGAGTCCCTCTCTATGTTTAGAAAGACACAGGGACCACCCACAGGTGAGATGGCACAGTGTTCATGTGAAAGCTGATTTCCTCCATTGAAGAAACCATGTTTTTTGGCTCAGAGACTGGACTGGCCATGGGAACTACTGGCTAAAATCCTGGTCGCCAGTGACCTGTCAAACCATCTATCCAAGTTTTTACCAGCTCTGTCAGTGTCATTTGTGCGGGCGGTCCCCATGGATGAGTCCAAGACTGAATTTATTCCCCTGTCTGACTGTGGAGCCAATACTGGTCTTTACAGAGATGGAGAACCCTACGAGCTGCTAAAGGACACCATCTTGACTCAGAACTGGCTTTTCTTCTCCTCTATGTGTAAGTAACGTGATGGCTACTTAATATTACATGTCTGTTTTCATTAGTGACTGGCTACAATAGGCATGATTCAATAGGCTATAGTCGGTAACAGCTAACTTGCTGTTACCCGTATTATGAATTTGTTCTGCAAATATTGCTATTGCTATCAAGCCTACCGCCATCATTGCTGTGAAGCATATCACAGCAATGCTAGTGAGGGCTAACAGTTGTGGCTGGATAGTTTTTTTTTGGCTCTCATGTACACAGTAACTCAGTCTTGCTTCTTATTGTGTGTTAAGTGGTCGCTTTCCCTTACATAAAACCTTGCTGGGAACAAGAAGGGAAGGGGGAGCATTTGTTTTGGTCTGAGATGTTGGTGGTCTAGTGCGACATGTAGTGGCAATCACAGTTGTTTACAGAACCTTTAATTAGCATCTGTGCACTAGTGCATACCATATTGCACAAAACTTAGCGGATCTGCCCTGGTGACCGGTTCCATGTGACTACCAGAAAGGACTTCAAGACCACACAGCTCTGCTGAGGCTGCACAACAAAATGTCAAAACATGATTCATGTGCACCTGTCGTCAAAATAATCACATGGGATAAATCCATGTGATTTTCTTTAAGTGTAGAAGTTCAGTAGTAGCTAAAATGGCAACCATACTAAAGGGTACTGAAATTTTGTCACTGTTGGTAATTCTGAGATTTTCTTCTAACAACAACAAGGACGTTCAATTGTTGTGCTAAACTTTATGTTTAATGCAAAGTTAAAAGTCTGGAAGTCAAAAGAGACATAATGCAAAATCTTGCTAGATTTTCATGAATATGCCAGAGTGCAATCAAAAAGTAGAGCAGCTAGAGGAAGTAAGGCAAAGAGGAGGTAAATCAGGTCTAATGATGGTGAGTATATGAGAATGAGTTAAGATACACGCGATATGAAAATGTGCGCTATAAATAAACCCCCTGAGTCCTCCAAGCAATAGATTCACCACCACTTCCATCACCTCCATTAGGTACTCCCTGATCTGGCCAAGTATCCATAGCACCATACACACTCATCAGTTTTCCTTAAATGATAATCTCATTAGAGCATTTAGAAGGGTCTGTTGTGGACCCGCTGGGAAAG